AACTGTGACCTTAAAGACAGCTTTAAAATTTTTTTAAAGTTTTGCCTAGAGATCAGGTGCGCTTACCAGAAAGAGAGAGAGAGAGAGAAAGTACTCCCCCAGGGGGGATAGACATACTGCAATTCGTTCTCCTCCATTCTCCTCTCAGAATTTTGGGGATGTATGCTGGTGCCCAGTGTGTTTCTCAAACCACTAGATCCAGGATTCCAACAGTTGGCCATGTAGGATCCAGCTACCTTAACCTCTGTGCCACCTGCTGGCCCAAAGACAGCTTTTTAAAATGGAGATTAGAAGGTCAGCTCTCCAGTCTTGTGGTTAAAGTAGTTGAATCTCCTATGGCTGACTGCAGTTCCAATCCCAGACCCAGTAGCTTGAAAAACACACTGGGCATGTGGGCATGAATGCCCAAAGTCACAAAGGAAGGAAGAAATAGAGAAGGGATTGAGACATTACCATTCCTCACAAATCTTGTTTCTCCTTTCCCTCTCTCCCTAGCAAAATAATAATAATAATAATAATAATAATAATAATAATAATAAATTAAAAATAAGATCAGATTGTGCCATTTTCCTGCCTAAATCTCTCCAGTGGCTCCCTATTGCATTTAAACAGCAATCCAAAGCCCCTACCAGGGTTTACAAGGCCTTACAGCAGAGACTGGTTTTCTGTGAAGAGCCAAACAGTATATTTTTTTTTTTTTTTTGCCTTTGCCAGGCATACAGTGTCTGTCACAACTCTTCAGTTCTGTCATCGTATAGGGAAAGCAGTCATAGAAAATATGAAAATGAATGGGTCTGGCTTTATTCCAATACAACATCATTTACAAAAACAAGCAGCAAGCTGAATTTCACTTACAGACCATAGTTCGCCAGCCTGTGACATATAGAATGCCGTTCTCTGTCTAACCTCATCTCTAGCCATTTTATTCTAGCAATACCAACTTTCTTTGGATCCTCAAACCTCTGTGCCTTTTCCTACCTCAGGTACTTTGAATATGCTTTTTTTCTCTGCAAAGTTTCTCCTCATCCTCAAGTTTCAGCTTAAACATATAAAACGTATTAGGAAAGGCTATTTAAATAAATATTTCCTCCTCATTTATTCCTTTTTAAAAGTACATTCATTTCCTTCTTCCATGAGTGAAAGAGACAGCCAGCATCCCCAAAAGGTCCTGCTGCCACAATCTACTCCATCTTTGGCCACTCCCACAGATCATGGGCACATGCACTTAGGGTGGTCTCCAGATGGAACCCAGAACTTTTCCGTGCAGGTCAGTACCACAGAGCATCACATCTGATCACTGTGCCACTGTGTGCCCCCATTTATTCTTATTACATCATCTTGCAGATGCCCTTCATAGAACCTTACCACTGGGAAATTATTTTATTTGGTTGTTTTCTTTCTCCTCCTGTCTGACCATAAGATCCATGACTTTTTTTCATTGCTATAGGCCATATCCCCTATACCCAGAACAATACCCGGCACTTAGTAGGCCTTCAGCGTCTGTTAAAAAAAAAGAATGATTAAATAAATTACATTGATGAATTTCCTAATGTTGAACTATTTTTGAAATCCTACTTGGTCATGCTTATTACTTTTACATCTGTCTGTTAAAGTGAATTTGGGCCATAGCTTTATTTGGTTTTGTATATTTGTGGCAGGTTGTACTTTTCCATTCAGTTTTTTAAAAATATTTTTTTAATTGCCAAAAGGCTCATGCATTTTCCAGAGAGATAAAGAGAGATAAAAAGCACTCCAATGGGGGGTAGGGGGCAGGTGGCATGGTGGTTAAGGATGCTGGACTCCCACACAGCCAACTGCAGTTCAAATCCTGGACCAGGCAGCTTGCTTTCTTGCTTTCTCTCTCTGGTCAAATTAGAAGGAAGGAAGGAAGGAAGGAAGGAAGGAAGGAAGGAAGGAAGGAAGGAAGGAAGTTAAATAAAATAATACTTAATGGGACATGGTCATGCCACAATCCTTTTGCCATTTCCTCTTCTCATCAGGATTTTGGGCATGTGTGCACATATACCTAGTATACTTTTCTTCTTCTCTTCTTCTTCTTCTTCTTCTTCTTCTTCTTCTTCTTCTTCTTCTTCTTCTCTTTGAATTTCTTATTTATTTAATTTTATTTGT